GGATCTCGGCCTCCCTCCAATGGTCAGGAAGGCTGCAATCCCTATGGGTTCCGTGGTCACACTAAGGCTGCTGCCTGGGTACTGTGCTGAGAAATGGCAAATAGTGTGCGGGTCACCTAGGAACCTGTTAGGAATGCAGATGCTGCCTCAGCCTCAGGGGGGGTCCCTGTTGTCTCTGGGCACAGAGAAGCTGTTCCGCAGGGCCTCCTCCTGGCCTGGGGGGATGAGGTCCCAGTCACTGGGATGAGAGAGAGAGCCCCACTGGGTGGGTTTGGCCGAAGCAGGACCCTCCTGTTGCCTTCCCTTTCTGAAACACCATCCTGCTCTGTCCAGTGCCTGAGCTCAGGTACTCAGTGACCCATTTGCCGAAACCACCCGAGCCCTGCACTTGGGCCGCAGTCTTTATACAAAGAGCTCTATGAGTTTATTTCCTCTTTATTTTTTGGTTTTATGCCTTTGAGAAAAGTCAGTTTCCTAAACATTTCAAATGTCATGGGAAATGTTGCACAGGTTTCTAAGACCTGGGCAATGACATCTCTTTCGAAACACCTTTGATGTCCACCATGTCTTTTCCAGACCTGTGTTGGCCCCTCCTGGCTGAGCTTTCTCAGCCTCAGTTTGATTAGCTGTGCTAGTGAAGGGACATGACATGAACTTGTATCCGTTCTGTGTGTGTGGCTTTGTAGGAATTTTCTTTTTTGCAGTACCGGGGATCAAACTCAAGACCTTGAGCTTACAGGACAGGCACGGTGCCGCTAAGCTATGTTCCCAGCCTGTGGCTTTGGTTTGTTAGCTCTGCAAATGTAGTTTTAGCACAGTGGCCTCTGTTGTCTTTTGTTTTTTTGGGTTTTTTTTTGGGTACTGGGGATTGAACTCGGGACCTTGCGCTTTCGAGACAGGTGCTGGAACCACTGAGCTAAATCCCCAGTCCCCTGTCTTTTGTATTATATATGATAGTGTTTTTTTTTTTTTTTTTTCTCCTTTGGTACTGGAGAAGGAACCTAGGGCCCCATGCATACTAAGCGAGTGCTCTGCATTGAGCCACAACTCCCACTCAGTATGATGGTTTTTACACAATATTTACATAGTTCTTTCTTCCACTTTTCATCTTTGTGCGCCTAAGTGGTTGGACACCACAGGAAATGGCTTCTGAATGTCTGGGGCAGAGGCCCTGTGCTTGGTTTCTTTGGCGAACAGGCTGTGCTGGGAGTTATGAGTCCCTGGGAAAGCCACAGCCCTCCTTTTGGTGTCCTTGTGCTTTGGTGAGCTCCGCCTGATTCCTTGTATCCTGGTGTCTTTTTTCTGTTACTCTGTTTCACGGACATTTGTACTTACTTAGTATTTCCAAAGAATATATTTTAGTAATATAGTATTTACAGAGAATGAGATTAGGTTTTTTAGGTTTTTTTTTTTTCTTTTTTGGTGTGGGGGACTGAACTCAGGATCGTGTGCTTTTGAGGCGGGCGGCGGAACCACTGAGCTAAATCTGCAGCCCCCTCCTTTTTATTTATTTATTTATTTACTGTTTTTTTGGTACTAGGGGATTGAACTCGGGACCTTGTGCTTGTGAGGCAGGCAGCAGAACCCTGAGTTAAATTCCCAGCCCTTCAGTTTCTTTTTAAAATTGTAAATCTTTTTTTTTTTTGGTAAGGGGGATCGAACTCAGATTCCTGTGCTTGCACAGCAGGCGCTGAAACCACTAGCTAAATCCCCGGCCCAAAATTATAAATCTTGTTTTCCATTTTTTCTACTTTCCCTGTGGTTGCTTCATCGTTAGCTCCTTGAGTTAAATACATTATTCATCTTTTTTTTTTTTTTTTTTTTTTTTTTTTTTTTTTTTTTTTTTTTTTTGGTACTGGGGAATCGGACTCAGGACCTTGCATTTTCGAGGCAAGTATGGGACCACTAAGCTAAATCCCTGGCCCCAGTTTTTTTGTTTTTAAGGCAGGGTCTTGCTTTGCTTCCCAAGCTGGTCTTGAATTTATGGGCTCAAGATCTCCTGCTTTATTAGCCTTTCAGGAGCTGGGACTACTTACTGGCTGTATGAGTTTTGGATATGTGTATGTAAGGTTATAGCCTCCTAAGAGTATCTGAGTGTATCCACAGCTTAAGATTGTACAAGGTGTGATTAACATGTAGCAAATGTTTAAATTAAAAAAAATTATTACAGTAAAAGACACATGGCTATCAATCCCCCTCAAAACACTCCCCCTGCCTTCGAAGACACTTATCCCATCATTCTTGCCACTTTCTGAAGCAGTTCTTCCTGTTTCATGAGCATCTTTACAAGATGTGACTGGGCCAGGGATTTAGCTCAGTGGTTTCATTGCCTGCTGCGCAAGCACAAGGACCTGAGTTTGAGCCCCGGTACCAAAAAAAAAAAAAATCAAAAATACAATGAATGAAAAAAAAAGTATGGTGAATGCTTCTGCCAAGTGCCATCTCTTGGAAAGGCAGGCTTGTGAAAACATAGTGTGTCCTCATCTACTTTATCTACCACATCTGGCACCAATGCGTCGTTTAGCTCTCCCTCAAAGTCAAAATGACCATAAAGAGTAATGTTTAATTGAGTGAGGACATCAAGGCAGCCACGACAGCTCCACTAAAGACATGAAAGAGGACTCTGTAACTGCCTTAGGAAGCAGCAAGAGCAATGTGGCAGGTGTGTTTGAAATGAGGGGGAATATTTTGAGGGGGATTAATGGCAGTGTGATTTTTACTATAATAACTTTAAAATGTAAACATTCATGATAGTTTTTTATCACACCCCATAGTACAGTTAATTGTCCCTTGATAGCAGCAGGGGATTGTTCCAGGACCCCTGCAGATGTCAACACCCAAGGGTGCCCAAATCTCAGATATACAACAGTGTAGTGTTTGTGTATAACCTATGCACATCCTCCTGTATACTTTACTTTTTTTTTTTTTTGGTACCAGGGATCAAACTCAGGACCTTGTGCTTTCGAGGCAGGCAGCGGAACCACTGAGCTAAATCCCTGGCCCTCCCGTATACTTTAAATCATCTCTAGATTATTTGTAACACCTAAGACAAGGTAAATATTCTGTAAATAGTTGTTAGACTGTATTGTTAGGGAATAATGACAAGAAAAAAGTCTTTTCATGTTCAGTAAAAGTATTATTCATTTTTCGGAATAGTTCAATCTGCAGTTGGTTGAATCCATAGATGTGGAGCTCTCAGATATGCAGGGCTTACTGTATATTCATATTGTTACATTTTAAGGGCCAGGGATTTAGCTCAGTGGTTTCACCGCCTGCTGCGCAAGCGCAAGGACCAGAGTTCAATCCCCAGTACCAAAAACAAAACAAAACAAACAAGCATTTTAAATATTGTGTATATTATTTGGTTATTTCACATACACCTGTAGTTTTTTTTTTTTTTTTTTTTTTGGTACTGGGGATCGAACTCAGGACCTTGTGCTAGCAAGGCAGGCAGCGGAATCACTGAGCTAAATCCCCGGCCCACACCTCCAGTTTTTAAACCCATTCTTAAACATGATTTCTTATTGATTTCTAATTCCAATACATGATAGTCTGGTTAAGTAGTCTGTATACTATTGATCATTTGAAATTTAGTAAGACTCCCTCTGTGAATATGATTGGCTTTGTCCATGGCCTAACAGTTGTTTGAAATCACAGTGTATTCTTTCTCTCTCTGTTGAATGTGGGCAATGTGCATCTTTCTTCCTGACTCTGTGAAGGTTCCTTACTGACCTGGGTGCTGAGAAGCAGTGGAGAGACCTCGGTGGAGATGTTGCAGAGGAAGTTTAATAACAGGAGAGTCTCAAGTGTGTTTTTCCTTCTTTTCAGGTCCCAATCTTGAGGGCTATGGATGAAGGAAATCAGATTACTGTTAACTATGAAGCCCCTGTGACCTGGCCATGATAAACAGGAAAGAGATTTACCCACCTGTCCTGTCCTAAAGAGGTTAATCCCCATAAAGCTTATGGGAGCAGAGTTGAGGAGGCAGGTGCTCCTTTCTCTAAATGAATACAAATAGGTTATATCTTTTTTTTTTTTTTGGTACCGGGGATCGAACTCTTGACCTTGTGCTTGTGAGGCAGGCATGGAACCACTGAGCTAAATCCCCCGGCCTGACTACAAATAGCTTTGTGAAAAGACCACTTGGTTACAGATGATGATAAAATGGAGCTAAGAAAAAATGTTTCCTCTGTAATCATGTCAACTGCTACATCATTCAGTCTGTAAGGTGGACAGTCTCATAAGGCTTTGAATGTATTTAGAACTCACTCAATTTTTTTTTTTGTACCAAGGATCAAACTTAACCTTGTGCTTGCAAGGCAGGCGCAGTGCCACTGAGCTAAATCCCTGGCCCAGAACTCATTGAATTTTTTTTTTTGGTACCGAGAATCGAAATCGGGACCTTGCGTTTGCGAGGGAGGTGCCGGAATCGCTGAGCTAAATCCCTGACCCAAACTCATTGAATTTTAACTTATACCATTATATGTATCTTATTTTTCTTCTCGAGAAAAGAAAATCAACTCAACTACTTGGTTTATTTGTGCATTTTCAACTGCACTGTTCAGTACCTACCCATAGCCACATATGGCTACTAAGTTTAAATTCACAGGGCTAGGAGTGTGGCACAGAGGTACAGTGCTTGCCTAGCATGCTGGAGGCCCTGGGTTCAATCTCTAGTACTGCAAAAGAAAAAAAAAAGAATAATTCATGAAGCAATTCGGTTTCTTGGGCACATCAGCCATCTTTTCACTGGAAAACCTCTCTGCAAGTGGCTGTTACCCACAGTACCTAGCAGCATAGCCAGAGAACAGCTCCATTGCTGCAGACAGTTCTCTGGGTCAGGACTGGCTTAGAAACCACAGCCACAGGCAGAAAAGGTGCTAGGCCCTTCCACCGTGGTCTCTGTAAGTGAGCTGTGCTGTCAGCCAGTGCCCAGGGACCCTTCCTGTCAGATGGATGTCAGAAGTGCTGATCAGCTGTTACCCTCTTCTCTCCTGCAGTGAACTGAAGAAGAAGTACAGCATCACAGCCACCCCCAAGCTACTGATTGTGAAACAAAGTGGGGAGGTCATCACCAGCAAGGGGCGGAAGCAGATCCGAGAGCAGGGTCTGGCCTGCTTCCAGAACTGGGTGGAGGTGGCTGACATCTTCCAGAATTTTTCAGGTTGAATGGGGAGGGACCTTGGAGGACAGGCCAGGTCTCCCTCCTGCAGCACCAACACTGAGGAAGAGAGGAGCCCCTGAGCTTGCCTTCCTCCGTTGCATTTTACTTCAAAGCGGAACCACTAAGCAGTGGCAAAATGTAAATATTATTCAGGAAAAGATACTTTCCCATTTTGATCCTATAGCTTATTTATAGATATTTTTATTTTTGCATAGCTTTATCCATCTGCACTTAGGGAATGACCCTCAGATGTCCCTACTAAGCTATGGGAAATCTATGCAAATCACTTTTTTGTATGAGTCTCTCAGATAAAATGATCTATTTATTGATAGATTTTCTATGTACTATCTCATTTTAATGATGTGCATTCACAACTACATTTATTAACCAAGTTTATAGACTGTAGTTTAATAAATATTTATATCTTGAACAGCTGTAATTTCTTCCTTTCAAATTCCAAAGCAAATACCAGTAGGAGGAAAATGGGTCACTCCATAAATACAACACTTACTGTTTTGTTTGTCAGAGGTAGTTGTTTTTATTTATTTATTTTTTATTGCTACCAGGGATCGAACTCAGGACCTTGCGCTTGCGAGCCAGACACAATGCCACTGAGCTAAATCCCCAGCCCAGTGGTAGTTTTTAGTTATGTGCCGCCTTGGAATTTTTTCCCCCTTTTCTCATACATACTTTGTTTTGTTTTATTTTTTGAGACAGGATCTTGTTTTGTAGTGCAGGCTGGCCTTGAACTCACTATGTAGCCCAGACTGGCCTTGAACTTGCAGGAATTACCCTGCCTCAGCCTCCTGAGTGCTGGGATTGCAGGCATGCACCACCACACCTGGCTTCATATTTACTTCTCTCTCTCTTTTTTGGTACAGGGGATCTGACTTGCACTTGCGAGTCAGATGGCGATATTTACTTTTAATAGTATTGTAAGAACTTAGAACAAAATGAAAATTTTAAGGCTATATACTGCCAGGATAACATTTATTCAATGATGATAACACATACAACTGGTTCCATAAGATGATAAAAGAGCTAAAAAATTTCTATCACCCATTGATGTCTATGGAGTTTGGACAACAATGAAGTCATCTAATGTTTCTCAGTATGTGCCCCTGTCTTTACTCGACACATAACGGTGTTTACATCCTTATGATCAAATCTCAACATTCCCTAAAGCATTCTCTCCATCCAGGTAAACAAATCTTGCACACGGTCCTCACTAACAGTAGGAGGGAAGCTGGCCACTGCTCAGGTTCCCTGCTCCCCCACCGTCTCTTGCCTGCTGGTCACACGGACAGCTGCTCTTATTACTGTCCAGATCTGATGGATCTGATGGCTGGGAATTGTGAGTGTGCTGGAATCCCACTGCTGGTCCAGTCCTCATGTTTGGATCCCAAAGGCTTGCTGGGTTCTTCAGCTGGGAATCTGGACACCCAAACAAGGCCCGTCTGAGTAAGGAGCCCTGTGGGCTCTGCTCAGCAGCCTGTGCTGTGTTATGTGTGGTAGCTGCTGTGTGCTCTGGGAGCAGACACTGACTTCCACCTCCTCCAGCCCCTCCTTTACTAGTTACCTTTTCTCTATTGAAAACTGAGACGCAGCTTCACTGGAGCCTATGGACTAAAGAGTGTTTATGAAACATGTACTCCCCCAGGTAAATCACCTAGAAATGCAATTTTTTTTCCCAGAACCGAGAAATGGCATGTTAATTTAATTACGGTTCTTTTATTTTGGCCTTTGCCCTGAGCTACATTCCCAGCCCTTTTTCTTTAAAAAATATTTAGTGGCGAAGCCCGACCGACCTCCATTGCTGCTTGACAAAGTTCCAGCTGGGGGAAAGAAAGGGTGGAACACATCGTACCCTCATGTTTTATTTTTTCTTGCCCTAATGTTTACAATTGTTACTCTGGTCACAGGAATCATTGTATTTGTGACTAACAACATATTCTCCATGAGGCAAATTGGCAATGTTGTATTGAAATCTGATCTGGCTCAAAAGTCCCAAATTCCTGTTTCTGTCAGTTCTATTGTCACACCCACTTCTAAAGAAACCCCTCCTAAAACTCCCTCTGTTTTCCTGCTACTGTAACTCCTTTCTTCTATTGATGACTTTCTTTTACTAAAGGGGTCTTATAAAGAGATTGAAAGGACAGATTTTAGATGTAAGACACAGTGGGAAATGGGAAATAGAAAGAAAGTTAAGACAGATAAATACACTAAGGAGGCAAGTTACTCAGTTTTTCTCAAAGTACTGTAAACATTTCCTGCTCATGGACCATGAACCCAAATAACATTTAAGCAAGATGAATAGAGGTATAGAAAAAATAGAGAGCTAATAGCAAACTATATTAACCATTGTGCAGTTTCTCAAGGGCCAGCTGACGACCACAAGTTTGACATTTAATTAACTAAATCTTGCTTGTATCCCCGCTGATATAAAGATTTTGATTAAGTTACTTTCTGTTTTGTTTAGGTGTGGGTAAATAAGGGGACAATTGTAATTTTTAAAATGTATTCATGATGGTCAATGAAATGAATCAGCTTAGGAAAAATATACTTTGTTTAGTAAAAAATAACCTTTATTTCTATAGAAATTGCTAAGGCAACCTAAAATGTAAATATGTTCCGCCCAATGCCTCCTAGCCATTGCTTAAAGATATAAAAATAAATCAGACCCTGAGACTTCTCAGAGGGAACCTGCACATTGCTTGCGAAGGTTCTTTTCTCACTCGCCGGCCCGAGACCTCTCCCCTTCCTACCCTACATCGACTGCAGCTGGTCTGCAGCAGGTGGCGCCCAACGTGGGGCAGGTAAGGGGGGTAATCAATTATAGTTCGGTCTTGGGCGGCCTTCACCCCATAGGGCACTGCAGGCCCCGCACTCAGAGAAAAAGAGTAGGCGTTAGAGAGGGGTGAATAGTTAGAACTTATAGAGAAGATAATGGGCCACAAGGGGTCTAAAGAAAGAGGACTCTTTGTTGATATTTTGCAACACTGTTTGCAATCTCATAAGATCAAGGTTGCTACCAAAGATTTATCAGCCTTCCTGGACTTTATTCAGGAATGTTGTCCTTGGTTCCCAGATGCAGGAACTTTGGACGCGGATACTTGGGGACATGTGGGAAAAGACATACAAAAATATTATACTGAATATGGGCCAGAAAAAACTCCTGTTAATGCTTTCTCTTATTGGTCTGTGATTAATCAATCTATGGGCTCTTCTATGATTAATTCTTGTCCCTCAGATACTTTTCCTTCAGCACCCCCAGAGGAAACTCCATTGTTAAAGACTAAAAAATCTCCTTCCATTTATGGTGTAATAGAAAATGAAAATGATTCAGATGAGCTTTTGTCTCCTTCTAAGGAGAAGGATTTAGAGGAACAAGCAGCTCGATATCACGATCCTGATTGGCCACCTTTGCAGTCCACAGCTTTGTGCAGCCCTAAAAAATCTAAAGGTAAGGCTCGCCGGCAACATTTTCCTCCACCACCAAATCAGGTTGGCTTTGCAGGAGCTGTTCATGAAGCTGCTGCGGCGGGCGATGCCACTTTCTCCTGTTTTCCTGTCATCTTTGACACAGACTGTGACTATGAGCCGGTATGGGAACCTTTACCTTTTAAACTGCTAAAAGAAATTAAAGCTGCTGTACATTCTTATGGAGCTTCTTCTCCCTATACTATGACTTTGCTAGAAACCTTAGGAGGGAAATGGATGACTCTATATGATTGGCAACAGGTAGCAAAAGCCTGCCTACCTGGAGGGGATTATTTGTTGTGGAAAATGGAATATGAAGATAGAGTAAAAACAGAGATAGGAAACTCAAGTAAACATAAAAGGGGAATTACTTTAGATATGCTCCTGGGAAATGGAGACTGGGTAGCAGCCAGAGATCAGATGCATTTGTCAAAAGAAACTTTGGCACTTACCACAGATTTAGCACTTAGTGCCTGGAGAAAACTCCCCTTAGGGGATGTCAAGGCTGGAGGACTAGTCCATATAAGACAAAAATCTGAAGAACCCTATGAGGATTTCATTGCTCATCTCATGTCTAATGTTTATAAGATTGTTGCAAATGAAGAGGCAGCTCAAATCATTGGCAAACAGTTGGCATATGAAAATGCTTCTGAGGTTTGTAAAACTCTAATTAAGCCTTTTTTGAAAATCGGTTCTCTTACAGATTTTGTCAGGGTATGTGCTGAAGTGACTCCTTCCTATTTGCAGGGGGTGACTATTGCTGCAGCCTTACAGGGAAAAACTTTGGTTCAATTCATGGGACAACAGGCTACCAGGGGAAGAGGCAGAAACATACAGATTACTTGTTTTCATTGCAATCAGCCAGGACATATTAGTAAGGAGTGCCCTTTAAGGGGATCCCAAAAACCAAACTGGTCCTTACAGAGGGAACCTGCACATTGCTTGCGAAGGTTCTTTTCTCACTCGCCGGCCCGAGACCTCTCCCCTTCCTACCCTGCATCGACTGCAGCTGGTCTGCGGCAATTTAGACAGGGTCTTGTATATCTGTGTTCCACTACAGGCACTCATCTTTTCTCCTGTGCGTACACGCTGATTTTCACCATTGTGGTTTGCCCCTCAGGGTAGCCCTGACCCAGCGGTGAGTAGGCAAGACCATCTGAGTAGGCAAGAGCATCGTGGGATAGAGTGGTGAACATGAGACTGCGTCCTGCCCAGTGCCAACTTCCCAGGGGTGTGGCTGTGCCAAGTGTCTTGTCCATGAACTTTGTTGACATCGGACCATGGAGCCCATGATTGTGGCACCTCAAGTCACCAAACCCCAGCTGCTCCACATGCAAACCCCAGGAGGGCTGGAGCACACAGACTCAGGAAATGCTGGTTACCATATCCTTGTGAGAAGCTGCCATTGCCATTGGAAGCACACACATGACACCCACACCCACGTGCACAACACACTGCACACTTCCATACACCTCATAGCACACATACAAACACCACAAACATCACACCCATATGCACAACACAGCCTCCCCACAGCGCATCCACTATATGCACAAATTATAGCACACATGCACAAAACACACTTTATACACCACATGCTTCCACCTTTGTCATACCACATATACAAATACCACACACATACATCACATATACACACCTCACACATCACATCCCCATGTATAACACAACCTATACATACCACATATGTACACACAACACAGCCCACACAACACACATATACCATGCACATGTACTGTACACACCACATCACAACATGCAACACATCATACATAGATACTGCACACACATCATAACCCCCCCCCCCATACAGAAGAAGGAAGAGGAGGGAAGATGGGCTGGCCAGTCGGGAGAATGGAGCTCTGCTGGGCTGGATGGAGTCCAGCTGGTCCTGCAGACCCAGTGCCATGGCGGGTGTTCCCTGCCTTCTACCGGCCCCACTTCCACATCTGTCCTTCCAACGGGGTGTGGTGGAACAGTTTGTCTTACAAGATTCTCAGTGTTAGATCACCTCCACTTTGTAAACTCTTCAGGGTCTTTGGCCATTGTCTGGAGTTAACTCTTTTCTCCCCTGTATTTTTGCTTATGAATTATCTTATTTGGTTGGTTGCTTTCCCCCCACCCCTCTCTTTTCTGTGTTCCTGCTATGTCTGAATGATTGTGTTCCCCCATTTCCATATGTTGAATCCTAACCCCAAGGAAATGGCACTAGGAGGCAGGTGTC